TAACCTGCGCGATGGCGATGAGCTGCCATTTAAACGTGCCAGGAGTAAGCACGAGGTGGAGCATGCGTTGGAAGCGCTGTCGCAGTCAGGCGGGCTGCGAGATGTAAAGGAGTGGAACATGAAGATCTCAGCGTGGAGTCGGGCCGGCGAGCATTCGCGAGCGGTCGGATGTCTGCAAGAGATGATGGATGCGGGCGTTGCGCCGAACGTGATCAGCTTCAGTGCGGCCATCTCTGCGTGCGAGAAGACAGGGCGGTGGCAGGAGGCGCTGCGGCTGTTGCAAAGGATGCAGGCTGTGCACGTGGTGCCGGACGTGATCAGCTTCAGCGCGGCCATGTCGGCGTGCGTGAAGGGCGAGGAGTGGGACAAGGCCCTCACTATTCTTCAGCGGATGCGAGAGACGCCGGGTGTCGAGCCGAACGCGTGGATCCTCGGAGTGGCGATCCTCGCATGCAAGGGGGGCGGGCGGTGGGAGCAGGCGTTGCAGCTGCTCGAAGAGCTCTGCGAGCCGGACGTGATTAGTCTGAACGTGGCGATCCTCGCGTGCAAGGGGATTGGGCGGTGGGAGCAGGCGCTGCAGCTGCTCGACGAGATATGTGAGATGGGCGAGACGCCGGGCGTGATCAGCTTCAACGCGGCCATGTCGGCGTGCGTCAACGGCGAGCAGTGGGGCAAGGCCCTCTCTCTCCTTCGGCAGATGCGAGGGACGCCGGGTGTCGAGCCGAACGTAATTAGTCTGAACGTGGCGATCCTCGCGTGCAAGGGGAGCGGGCGGTGGGAGCAGGCGCTGGAGCTGCTCGACGAGATCTGTGAGATGGGCGAGACGCCGGACGTGATCAGCTTTAGCGCGGCCATGTCGGCGTGCGTGAAGGGCGAGGAGTGGGGCAAGGCCCTCACTCTTCTTCAGCGGATGCGAGAGCCGCCGGGTGTCAAGCCGGACGTAATTAGTCTGAACGTGGCGATCCTCGCGTGCAAGGGGAGCGGGCGGTGGGAGCAGGCGCTGCAGCTGCTCGACGAGATCTGTGAGATGGGCGAGACACCGGGCGTGATCAGCTTCAACGCGGCCATGTCGGCGTGTGTCAACGGCGAGCAGTGGGACAAGGCGCTCTCTCTCCTTCAACAGATGCGAGGGACGCCGGGTGTCGAGCCGGACGTGATTAGTCTGAACGTGGCGATCCTCGCGTGCAAGGGGATTGGGCGGTGGGAGCAGGCGCTGCAGCTGCTCGACGAGATATGTGAGATGGGCGAGACGCCGGGCGTGATCAGCTTCAACGCGGCCATGTCGGCGTGCGTCAACGGCGAGCAGTGGGGCAAGGCCCTCTCTCTCCTTCGGCAGATGCGAGGGACGCCGGGTGTCGAGCCGAACGTAATTAGTCTGAACGTGGCGATCCTCGCGTGCAAGGGGAGCGGGCGGTGGGAGCAGGCGCTGGAGCTGCTCGACGAGATCTGTGAGATGGGCGAGACGCCGGACGTGATCAGCTTCAGCGCGGCCATGTCGGCGTGCGTGAAGGGCGAGGAGTGGGGCAAGGCCCTCACTCTTCTTCAGCGGATGCGAGAGCCGCCGGGTGTCAAGCCGGACGTAATTAGTCTGAACGTGGCGATCCTCGCGTGCAAGGGGAGCGGGCGGTGGGAGCAGGCGCTGCAGCTGCTCGACGAGATCTGTGAGATGGGCGAGACGCCGGGCGTGATCAGCTTCAGCGCGGCCATCTCGGCGTGCGGCCGCGGGCAAGCGTGGGACGAAGCATTGTCTCTCCTCAAGGAGATGAAAGAGCAGGGCGTTGCTCCCGACTTCATCACCCACAACGCTCTGATTGAAGCAGCACGGACCTGCTTCGAAGACGTCAAGCAGCAGGACGCTCGCGACACCATGCAGGAGCTCGAGGAGATCTTTCGAAAGGACCGAATCGACCCCATTCAGTGTTTGTGCGACGCCTATTCGGGAGTGTATCCAGCGGATGCGCCCGATGTCTCGTCCCGGGCGTCGCTACTGGCCATCTGCTCCGTCCCCAAGAGCGAGAAGCGCCTGGAGTGGCAATTTGAGAGCGTGCGCGTTCGCACAAACCCAGCGCAGCCTAACCGCTCCCAGACTAACTCCAAACTCGCTTGTCAGGTCTACCGCATGGTGAGGCGGGTGCAGCCCCTTCACGAGACGATGTCACTGCACCTTGGCGTCCGGACCGGTGACTTGACGGCGGCCCTCTCTAAGCGCAGATTCGACATCCTCTACGTGTCCGGCCACGGCGCCGACGACAAGAAGCGGGAGGGCGGGATCGTCTTTGCGGGCGCGAACAAGGCTGGCAAGCTGCACTCCCTCTCCGCGAAAGCCCTCGGGGAAAGGCTCTGCAGCAGCGGGGCGTGGCCCAAGCTGATCTACCTCGACTTTTGCGAGTCGGACGCGTTTGCGGCGGAGCTTCGACAGACCTTTGCGACGAGGGGCGCAGCCGGAAGCTGCATCGTCGCGTGGTCGACACGCGCGCTTGACAGCGCCTGCTTTCTCCTGTGCAGCGCATTCTTCACGCACTTGGCCGCGTGCGTCCCGCGAGAGCGGCAAGGCCACCCCCCCGACATCAACTTGCTTGACTTTGACCGCGCCATCGCGCAAGCGTTCGAGAAGGGCAGGCAGGCGATGGAAGAGGAGTACGAGTGCCGGGACCTCGACCCAGATCCTGGGGCGTCGCTGGCCCCTGGGTGCAAGCCGGGGGGAGGGATGCCGCGGGTGCTTTGGCCAGGTGGATGAGGTGGAGATCGAGGCTGCGTGATCCACCAGACGGTGATCCAGAGCGTGTTTGTTTACGTAGCAGCACCGAGGTCCGAGCCAGTCACGAGCCAGCCACAGGTCGACGGCCTCATGGCACGCTTTTCTTTTGCCAGTGTGCTGTGAGAGAGGCTTGTATTTTAAGAATTCTTTTGAGAGCAGTGAACGCCGGGTTTGTCTTGTATGTGCGTGTGGGGTGTGTGTCTGTACGGGACGGCGAGGGGCGGGGGCGCGCAAGTCAGAGACTCAACGTTCGTCGGCTCGTCGGGGTTGGAGGGGGGTTTCCAAGGAGGGGGGTAGTAGCGGCAGGGCGTACGGGTAGCCGTCACTTTCCTGCCTCACAACGGCGGGGCTGTCCCGGAAAGTGAGAACGCCGGGCCGCGTGACGCACAACTTTAACCTCCAGTTGTTCCAATGGAGGCGGAGACTGATGCACGAGAATTTTATGCGAAGAGAAAGAGAAGAGGGAGAGATGAGGATGCACGTCTTATGTGTGTGTGTGACAGGCGGGCAAGGGCGTGGTCACCTTCTATCATCATCATCCATGTGTGTGTAGAAGTCGAGCAAGTTCCTAGATACCCATGATCAAGTGTTTGTTTGTTTTGTGAGTGAGTTTCTTTGTACTTTGAGAGTTTCTTTTGACGAAACCACGACGACACACAGCACCACCAGTCGACTCGCATGATGGTCGCGCATCGGTTGCCTCGATGAACGGTGGAGCTATTCTCGCGTCCACCTCACACCTGGCTCCAACGTGACATGCCCATAGCTGGGGAGAGTACTAGGCCACGCATGGCATCAGAAGACACACACACACACACACACACACACACACACACACACACACACACACACACACACACACACACACACACACACACACACACACACACACACACACACACACACACACACACACACACACACACACACACACACACACACACACACACACACACACACACACACACACACACACACACACACACACACACACACACACACACACACACACACACACACGCACACACACACACGCACGCACGCACGCATCCCAAAGGATTGTGGAATAAATAAAACGCTCTGTCCCTCAAGTCGGCAGTTATGCATTGCGAAGTTCTTTGTTCGCCACGGCGCCTGGTTGTTGCACGTCATGAGTTTTCAGGTCTTTCAGGTCGCCACGGCACCAAGTGTTCGTTTGTTTTGTGAGTGAGTGAGTTTTCGTTGACGAAACCACGACAAGGCCCACTTTGCTCTTTGTGGCAAAACTTTCCGACAACCGCAACGCGACCGCCTCTTTCTGGGCCTCCGAGCTCGATCGCAACAATTTTGGCTGGCAAGTTGTCACAGGCACCTGCGTTGGTCGGCCCTTCAAATTCGGGTTCCACGGCAGCAAGGTGTGCTACGCCCTCGCCATTGCAATGGACCACTCCTCCGCAACCTTCAAGATGAACGACTGGACTGTCACAGTGCGCGGCATGCGCTCGGTCTTCCGCGCGGAGGACTATATAGCTGGACCCAAGAATCGGCTCGACATCAGCTTCACAGCGCGCGGCGGAGCTCCGTCCCGCGACAAGCCGCACGGCATCATAGGCCAGTCCTACACCACGATTGGGCGTGTGCGTAATGGAAAGATGGATGTGTACCCATGGGAAGGGAGCGTCACGACCAGCGCAATGGCCGAGGGCGCCATCGAGGGCACGGCACCAGATTATGAGATGGCCAGCGCCCACGCGACTTGCATCGGCCTCAAAAGCGTGATTGCGCGCGGGAGAGCAGCCCCAAATAATGTGTGCAAGTGTGAGAGTTGTTTGGGTGGGATAGATAAGGATCCGAGGTGAGCGGAATGTTTCAAATCTAAGATTTTAGCTCGAAAAAAAGGTTGACAAGCGGGAAGTTTTTTTGCAGCTCATCAACGTTCCCACGGCGCCTGGTTGTGTTGCACGTTCAGTCGGCGGAGTTTTCCAGGTTTCCCTCCCTTCCCCCGCGCCCCGCGCGATGCTGCGGCGCGTGTTGGCCTTTGCGCGAGCGTGCCCGGCCGCTTCGCCCCACATCCCATGCGCTGCAGCGCGCTCGTGCCTGTGCCCTCCCTGCTGCGAACGCCCCGCGCGCGGCTCGTTCCGAGGCTCGAGCGACTAGAATCTGGCGCACACCCGGATCGCGGGCAGAGCGACGGCCCAGCGCGCAACCGCGCATCGCCTCCATGCCTACTGCGCTCCCGCGCCGCCCGAAGCAAGCCCGCACCATGCGCATCCCATTTTACAGCTCTGACGCTCGCCCGCCGTCATGCGCACGCAGGAAACAAAGATGAAATGGGCAATCCTGCTCATGAGCTTGTTTGGCATGGCCCGGACAGCCCCAAATGAGATCGACGGCAAGCCCGCCGTTCTGGAGAAATGCGTAAGCACCATCCCAGGCTTCTTCCAGGGGCAGGGACTCTACAACGCCGCCGTGGCAGAGCTGAGCCGCCACCCTCACGACGACGCTCTCTTCCTGGAGATTGGCGCCTATCTCGGCCAGTCCACGTGCTACATGTCGCATCTCCTCGACAGCTTGTCCGTGAACGTGGCCTTTCACGTCATCGACTTCTGGGGTTCCGCACCAAAAGGGACCATTCCCAAGCACAATTTGCTCAACGGGATGACGCGTGCCGAGGCTTCGCTTGCAGAATGGGCACGCGAGAATCACAGGAAGTCTGTGATGCAATTCGGCAAGGGTGACTTTCAACTCACGTGGGCTCACTTTGTGCAGACCTTCGGCAAGTGGGACAACATCGCGTCCGTCACCAGAGGCTCGTCCAAGGACGTCAGTATCGTTGCCCGTTACAGCGACAAGTCCGTGGACTTTCTCTACTTGGACACGGCCCACGACAACACGACAATCACAGAGCTCGAGCTTTGGTGGCCAAAGGTGAGGCCTGGCGGTCAGATGTGCGGCGATGACTACGACAGGATACCCGTGAAAACCTCTGTCAAACGCTACTTCTCTTCAGCACAGGTCTCCCTCCCAGTGACGAAGCTGCCGCTCCGTCAGTGGTGTGTGCACAGGCCCATGCCTGATCAAAACAACTGAACTCTGCGGTGTGGTGGTGGCGGCCGCGGGGTCGCGGCTCCGGCCGCGTTTAAATCGTGCTTCGGCGGCACCGGTGGTGGAGAGAGCCTAAGATGTTCTCTCCACCTCCGGTCAGACACTTCCTGCGTCTGATAAGCCACGTGTGTTCACAGCTGCGTCTGATAAGCCATAGCGCTCGGTAGCTCAAATGTGAATTGTAAAATGTTCGGAAAGAATGTCGGTAAAAGAAGAGCCATTGTGCACTTCACGACAGCCACGCTAGCACAATGGCTCGCGGTCGCGGGCGCTGACACATACCTCATAATGTTTAAATTATGTTCCCGCTCATAAAGGGTGTGGATAGAGGGTCGACAGCGTCCTAATCTAAAATCTGAGGATTCAGGATTGAGGGCTTGCTTCAGTGAGGCCAAAGTGAGTTTATGGATGTGTGAGAACGGTGCGGGACACGAGGAGTCACGCGGACCGACTCGTCGGTGACTCTGCTGCACGCCGTTCGCCGTTTCAGAATTTTTCTCAGCGTGAGCGAGACGTGGAAGAGTGCCACCGTCGGGTAGGACGGGTCGGCCCGGAGTATCAGAGCGGCCGTCGTGCGTGGTCGCGGCGAGCAGCGCCGGCCACTCCGGCGCCGCGTCGGTAAGATGCGAGCGTGTCCACCGCCACTTCGCGGTCGCAGCGCTGTTTCGTGTTTGTCGCCCAAAACGCCGCCTATCCCTCTGGCGGGCCAAAGATCGACTCGCATGTCGATTTTGACTCGAAAGGGCACAGCGAAGAGAGAGAAGACTCCTTATCATGGATGCAGACCCAAAGTTCAGACAAACGACGCGACGGGGAAGGTGGTGACAGTTGGAGTTTTGCGCAGCGACCCGGCAGGCGTGGACCTGATGTGCAAGTACCCGGACATCGCTGCAGACCCCGGTGTGGAGCCTTGGAAGGCGGCGGATGATTGGGAGATGAAAAAGGTGTTCAGTGATCTGGGCAGGTCCAGCAGTCGCAGGCAGCGCGAGCCGCGTGGTCAGAGCTTGGCAACTGGCATCTCTCGAACCCGGCCGCGCTGACACCTTTGTTGCCAGCAAGCAGGAGGTCATGTCGCAGGGAGCTGCTCTGCCCACGCTACCAGAGTCGTCCCTCTCTTGGAACAATCTGTGGTCTATTCTCTGGGTCAAGAGGAACGCTCCCGTGCCGCTGCAGCGCGCCCCCCAGCCTGCCGCCCGGCCGCCACCACCAGTGGCAGGGCAGAGCCGGCGACACGATCGCGAGCATCTCGGCACTACGTCCAGCGCAGCCGAAGCCAACATCGTCATTCAGACACCCAGGGTATACAAAGGCAAATCAGGCGGAGGCGCGTCTTTTGGATGACGCGTGCGGCATGCTTACGTGCGTGACAACTTGGAGAAGCAAGACGCCCCAGAGGCTTCACCACATGCTAGGGGGGGGGGTCCCGACCCCCCCAGCGCCTTCACCACATGCTAGGGGGGGGGGGGGCGTGAGCAGAAGTGCGCCCCCCTCCCTGGAAGCGATGCCCGCCTGCTCTCGCCGTCCTCGCGGGAGTCGCTTAGGCGGCTCCCGTGGTGTACCTGTGTTAGTGCCAGTGCGCGCCAGTCCCGTGCCTACTCGAGTAGTTAGTGTCGTGCGAGGGAGTTTTGTTGTAAAATTCTACAAGCGACTCCCGCGAGGACGGCGAGGCACTTAGCTCCGTGCACTCGAGGGATTTTTTTTAGGTTTCTTGAATTCTTACTGAGCTCGGCTGGCACCAGGTAAGCCCTGGCGAGTAGAGGCCCCGCCCACCCAGAGAGAGAGACCTCGAGAGAGCGTGGGCAAACCCCGCAAAGTGACCCGTTTTTACCCACCCACGCCCGTGCGCGCGTATCTTAGCTAAGGTACGCGGCCACACGCGCTGGCGCGCACGGCAACCGGGACTTACACGCGCGACACGAGGGACTGCGTATCCTCGCCTGCCTCGGGGGAGAATAGCCGCCCTCACCCGCTGCCGCGCATCGAGCTCGGCGGGGCCTGATACGTGTCATTCTGTGCCGGCGCGTATCTTAGCCAAGATACGCGGCCACACGTGCAGACGCGTATAGCGGTACTCGCGCCCACACGTGCAGCCGCCTATCTTGGCCAACATAGGCGGCTGCACTCGCAGCCGCGTACCGCGTGACATACACGCCCACGCATGGGGCGCGTATGTTCCCCTAGATAGGCGCCCACACGTGTAGCCGCGTATGTGAACATCCCTCTGTGCACGTGCCAGCGCGAGTCGCCTTCGCCGACGGGCCGTTTCACGCGCTCACGCCCGCCTATGTTGGCCAAGATAGGCGGCTGCACGTGTGGGCGCGAGTACCGCTATACGCGTCTGCACGTGTGGCCGCGTATCTTGGCTAAGATACGCGCCGGCACAGAATGACACGTATCAGCCCCGCGCCGAGCTCGATGCGCGGCAGCGGGTGAGGGCGGCTATTCTCCCCCGAGGCAGGCGAGGATACGCAGTCCCTCGTGTCGCACGTGTAAGTCCCGGTTGCCGTGCGCGCCAGCGCGTGTGGCCGCGTACCTTAGCTAAGATACGCGCGCACGGGCGTGGGTGGGTAAAAACGGGTCACTTTGCGGGGTTTGCCGAGAGGGTGCCGAGCCTCACTCGAGTAAGCCGGCATGAGCGTGCCTCGGGCAGCTACTTTCCTAACCTGCCTGCTCGCGACTGCGGGCGGGGTACAACCGAAGAGCGGCCGGTACACGGCGGCGCGAATCGACGGCGGCAGCGAGAGCGTGCTAGTCCGGCCGGGCAAGCTGTTGCCGGCGGTGGAGAGGGCGTCGAGCGGTGTCCTGGCAGTCTCCGATCAAGTCGTGGCAGCAGCGGAGCGAGGCGACGAGGTGGAGGTGCTGGCGTGGCTCGACGGCGGCGGGCGGGCCGATGCAACGTACGAGAGAGGTGGGGTGAGCGGCCTCACGCTGCTGATGCTCGCCGCCGCCCAAGGTCACGAGCGGGTGGTCGAGCTGATGCTGCAGCACGGCGCGGAGCTCAACCTGCAGAGCAGCAACGGCTACACCGCGCTGATGTACGCTGCCGGCAACGGCCGCGAGCGGGTGGTCGAGCTGCTGCTGCGGCACGGCGCGGAGCTCAACCCGCAGAACAGCGACGGCGGTACCGCGCTGATGGCCGCCGCCTACAGCGGCCACGAGCGGGTGGTCGACTTGCTGATTCAGCGCGGCGCGGAGGTCGACCTGCAGAGCAGCGACGGCTACACTGCGCTGACGCTCGCCGCCGAGAACGGCCACGAGCGGGTGGTCGAGCTGCTCATGCAGCACGGGGCGAAGGTCAACCTGCAGGACAGCGGCGGCAGCACCGCGCTGATGGGCGCCGCCAGCCACGGCCAAGAGCGGGTGGTCGAGCTGCTCATGCAGCGAGGAGCAGAGAATAACCTGCAGAGCAGCAACGGCGACACCGCGCTGATGCGCGCCGCCATCAACGGCCACGAGTGGGTGGTCGAGCTGCTGCTGCAGCGCGGCGCTGAGGTCGACCTGCAGGAGAGCAATGGCGGCACCGCGCTGATGCTTGCCGCCATCGGCGGCCACGAGCGGGTGGTCGAGCTGCTACTTCAGCGCGGCGCGGAGGTCGACCTGCAGAACAGCGACGGCTTCACCGCGCTGAAGCTCGCTGCTAAGTACGGCCACGAGCGGGTGGTCGAGCTGCTGCTGCGGCGCGGGGAGTTGCCAATGGCATTCCACTGGACGATTGTGCTTAATGCTGGCCCGACCCTGGCATACCTGGCGATTACGGCCCTGGTGGTTTACGCCTTCAGCTTTCTATGGCGATTGTTCTCCGAGCAAGGTCGGAGGGGGCGCCCGCACCGGCTGCGTCGAACGGCGCGAGAGCGCGCCATGGCCTTGCTGCTTTCCGACATGGCCGCGCTCTCTTATTTGTTCTTCCGCGCTCACTTGTTGTTTGCTTTCATCCCCTTTGTAGTCTGGGGGTGGGCCAATACCTTGCTTTGGACTTTGGTGGGTGTTGTTCGGCCCTTGGATGCGAGAGCAGCGGAACCGGCACGAGGCGAGCGAGGGCGGCCACGAAGGCGTGGGGGGGGTGCGGAGGCAGACGCTGAGGCGGAGGCGGCGCGAGAGTGCGCCCGACTTGAGGAGAGAGCGAGGCAGGAGAGGGCGAGGCAGGAGCAGCGAGAGGCGCGGCGAGCGGAGGCGGAGGCGGTCAAAGTGGCCAAGGACGCGAGGCGGCGAGAGGCGGAGCGCCGGGCGGCGGCGGCGGCGAAGGCGGCGGCGGCCGAGAGGGCGGCTGAGAGGGAGACGCTCGAGCGGGAGCGGGCCGCGGAGGCGGAGCGCGCGAGAGAAACGGCGGAGAGAGAGGCACGGGCGGCGGCAGCGGCAGCGGCAGAGGCAGAGGCGCAAAGTGCACGGGATCAGGCCGAGAGGGAGGCGTTTGAACAGGAGCAGGCAACAGCAGTGGCAGCGGCGGCGGCTGAGGCAGCGGCAGAGGCAGCGGCTGTAGCAGAGGCAGCTGCGGAGCGCGGGAGGGGGGAGGCCAACGCGATCGAGCGAGAGCGGGCCGCCGCTGCCGCGGCGGCGGCGGCGGCGGTGGACCCGACGGTGGCGACGAGGATCGCGGAGCAGCTTGGCACGGAGGAGAGTGTGGCCGAGTTGATAAAACGAGCAAACGAGACGCTCGAGATCGAGCCGCAGGGCACACTTCAGGAGCAAGCGGAGGCGGTCCTGTCCGCGCTCGTGGGAGCGAGCCACCCCTACGATGCAGGGCAGGCTGCCGGCGGTGATGAAGACACGGTCGCACCTCTCGCGAGCGTCTCTCTGGCGGACGCCAACTTCGACACCGGCAGACCGACCGTCCCCGAGTCGACCCTCGGCGGTGAGACCACGTGCTCTGTGTGCTTTACCAACCCGAAATCGCACGTCGCGGCTCCCTGCGGCCACCAGTGCGCGTGCGGCCCCTGCTCCGCCAGGATGGAGTCGTGCCCCATCTGCCGCGCGCCCGTGCTGATGTGGATGCAGCTCCGCGTTGCCTGAGCGCCGCCGCGGAGACCGGAGTGCTGAGTGAGGCGGGGAGAACCAACTCTCGCGGCAATATTAGGAGTAGCAAGTACAGTCACATTCTAGGATCCTAGGAGGGAGTTGTTCGCGTGGTCCCAGGCGCGGGGCAATAACATAGGTACTCTAGCTGTGAACAATCGAACAGTGCACAGCGCCCTGCCACGTGCCAGGAGCCAGCTCTCTGAAATGTGAAATTTGCGATCTGAAACGACTAACCGCCGGTGCGTCACCGGTATAGGCCTACAGTAGGGTTAAGTATTTCTTATGGTTGTCTTTTACGGCTCATCAAAATCCGGTTTAATTATTTTGGGATTGGGCGCCTGCTTGCTTCCCCACCCCTCCGTGCTCTGAAAGTCGCGAGAGGAGCACTGCCGCAACAATACTGGGTTAGGTTAGGTTAGGTTAGGTAGGAAGGTGAAGAACAGCCAGGCTCGAACTGGACACCAGCGCGGTATGGGTGGACGCTAGACAGATGATGACGACACGCATGAGCGACACACAGACACAAACAGGCTCACAACGAAGTTCTCTGGTAGGACGGGAACGATATGGTAGTAGGGAGTAGAAGAAAGCAAAGAGGAGCCCTGCGCACGCACGACTCCGCAGGAGAAGCCCCTCCCCAGACAAATGAGAAAAAGTCTGGAACGCAAACGGCGGAAACGGTTAATTCGGAAACGCAGCAGAGTCACCGACGAGTCGGTCCGCGTGACTCCTCGTGTCCCGTACCGTTCTCACACATCCATAAGCTCACTTTGGCCTCACTGAAGCGATGCCTCAATCCTGAATCCTCAGATTTTAGATTAGGACGCTGTCGACCCTCTATTCTAACCCGGACTACAAGATCAATCTCTTCTGCCCGGGCAGAAGATCTACCGAGGATGGAATGGTCCCCGCGTCGTCTCCACGACGAGGCGGCCCTCCCTGGTGTTCCTCCGATCAATTGTCACTTCTCGTATCTTTCTGCATGAGCCTTGCCACCGGGCAAGGGCTCTACTGCTTTCGCTAGTGTGTATACTGTGCGGCTGCCACAGCTGTGACAGCGATGGGCTCGCCCTCACTGGCCCTCAGTCACTTGTGCTGCGGCTTGTGTGAGCGACACTGCTCGGCGACTGCCGGCACACTGTGAGACCGTGGGTGTGAGGTAAAACCACGCTACCAGCGCTTGGTCACATCGGCCCCGAGGTCAGATCCATCTACTCTGTTGATGACAAGACTTGTCTACTGGCTGGAGCCGAGCAGGAGGGCCCAGCGCACAACCCCTGGTCAACTCAGGGTCCACACCCCCAGGTATACTCGTGCAACAACCCCCAGGGCCAGGCCCCAGCGGGCGAGCGCGGGGCCGTCGCCAATCGGCTGCGTGGATGTGGTGATTATTTGCTGTGTGAGAGCGCTGCGTTCGTGTTATCAGGACACGGCGCGCGTGCACAAGTAACAGATGCACACAGTCACCTCACTGTCGTGTCACGCTCCTCTTTCCGGCGCCCCACACATCCTCTGCGCACATCCCATGTGCCATGAGACCCCAAGCAACACCCTACTGCCCCCCCCTGCAAATGCCTCCCCTCGCTCTCGCCTACGCCCGCCCGTCATGCACATCGCGCGCTTCAATAGCCCATGTCGCCGCCGAGCACGACGTCGCCGCCGAGCACCGCCTCGTAGCCCATCTGCTCGTTGATGGAGTTTGGCACGACAGCGGCAGTCATCGGGAACTCGACGGGGGCGGTGTTGACGACGCGGACGACGTTGCCCGAGCCGGGCGTCTCGAGGATGCAGAAGAAGGGCCGGTCGAGGCCGTCCTCCGCGTACAGCTCGATCACCTGCTTGTTGTTGTTCGGGCCCTGCAGCAGCTCGATCCGCGCGTTGAGCGGCCGCCCGTCCGTCTTGAGCAGGACCTGGACGCTGTCGACGGTGGGGTCGAAGGGGTAGGTGCGGAGGGCGCCGCCCTGGATGGTCATGCGCGTCGAGAGGCACTCGGCCGACGGCGCGTCGACGTCCTCGGCGACGACGTTGGCGGCGAAGGGAAACTCGATCTGGCCGATGTTGCGGATGGCAATCGTGTTTGGGCCGCGGGGCGTCTCGACGACGGCGCTGAAGGGGCGGAGCTGGCCGTTCTCGACGTACACGCGCATCTTGCACGGCGTGTTGTCCGGCCCCTGCCACAGCTCGATGTCCGCGTCCAGCGGGCGGCCCTCAGTGCTGAGCACCACCTGCACCTGCTCGACCGACGGCGAGCGGTACGACCAGGTGCGGAGCGAGCCGCCCTGGACGAGGATGGAGGAGTCCGTCGCGGGGCCGGCCATGCCGCGGCGGCTCGAGGCCACGGACTCGCCATACGCTGCGGAGGGGCGGCGGGAGAGGGCGGGTGAGCCGAGGACCTTGATTCACGCTGAAACGGCGCGTTGCGGGTCGTGGCGCACCGGTGGGCGCGACGGCTCCGTATGCCTGCATGGAGACGGCGGCGCGCGACGCCGGGGCCGCAGCCAGGGGCGCGTTGAGCGACAGCGACAGCGGGAGGGCGGAGAGGGCGAGAGCCATGGTGGGATCCGGTCGGCGTGGATGCCTTTTGGCGATTAGACGGGCGAGAAGCCTTTGGAACACACGATTCATCAAGACACGCGAAGAAAAAAAGGGACCCGGTCGCCTACCCTCTCGGGTGCCGCCTCGTTCAACTCGCCGAGGTCCGCGGCCCGCATCGACGCCAAGTCCTCGTGCGATTCTCATTTCTAATCCAAAGTGTCCAAATGATCGCCTTCGACAGGAGAGGGTTTTTGCAGGGATCTACACTTGCTTACACTCTCTCTCTCTCTCTCTCTCTCTCTCTCTCTCTCTCTTACACTTGGTTCTACACTTGAAAAAGTGTAGAAGAGCCCGAAATGCCGGTGGACTCGACAGATAAGCACCGAAAGTGTAGGTCCGACTTACACTTAAAGGATGAAGGAACTGGCCTTCGCCAGACAGAGAACTATTGAGCGCCTCGGCGAGACGGTTCCGGACATCCCGATTGCGAGCGCAGTGGACTTCATCTTGCCGGTCAACTGCCGGCGGTCGACAACTGCCGTTCGAGCAGCGTCGGAGAGAGATTTTTAGCAATACCAAACAACTCTAACACTCACACGTAATTTGGGGCCTGGAGCCCTGTTCACGCGCGCGCGAGACGTGCAGACAGGGTTGCCAGGTGAGAGCGTCGGCGACCGCCGTCAAGATGAACTCCTCTCAAGTTGAGCCGCGGCATGCCGCCCCGCCTGCGGCGTGCCGCCCCGCATGCCGCGGCTCAACTTGAGAGGAGTTCATCTTGACGGCGGTCGCCGACGCTGTTCGAACGGCAGTTGTCGACCGCCGGCAGTTGACCGGCAAGATGAAGTCCACTGCGCTCGCAAAAAATACCACCGGAACCGTCTTGCCAAGGCGCACAATACTCGCATAATGTGGGTAAACGAAAGTACCGTATTCGGTACTATCAAGAAAGACACCGAAAAAAGTCGCCGCTGCAGTCCACGACGAGCCAGCCTGCTGCCGGCTCGCACGGCAGCCTCTTCCTATGGACCAGCCTCGACTTCCATACAGTCAACATTTTGTCGCTGCGTGCTCGTGGCGAGCTGTGGCGGCGGTTGAAGTTGGCCCAGATTCGACGACGAGCGCCGGACGATAGTAGTGTCTCTGTTCGCCCTGTGCATGTCAGGCCAGGCTGCAGCAGGGCACTACCAACGTGCTGCCCTGTTGCAGCCTGACTTTGCCCACTGTGCACAGTCGCCAGAGCACCACCACCGCCCGGCATCGTGTCACGGCGAGCTCCTTCTGCGCCCGCTCGCGAGGCTCTCGCGCTGGCACACTTTGGCCATCTGCTGCTCGCGTTCGGCGAGCTCTTCTCCGCACTCCTGCCACGGTGCCGTCACCACACACCTTCTGGCTGGCCTGAGCCGCGCGGGGTCGCCGGCGGGGGCAACGCGTCGACCTCTCTCTCTGGTGCACCACGGGCCGCAACGGCCTGCTAGCAGCGTGCGCGAGGAGGCAGTGTGCCGGCACAGTCGAGCCGGAGCATCGGGTTCTTGATGCTTCTGGGGTCAAGTTTGACCTTATGCGGCCTAATATGCAACAATAATGCGATGCTATCTCCCGGCTTTTTGAGATATGATCCCTGAAAGTCGAATTTTCGTTTACTGGTGACCATAGACCATAGTACCGTCTGTCCGGTTTGCGTTTCTTCAAACCAATACACTTTAAAGTCTCGACAATCACTAAGCTGCTTATGTGGCACCGCAGAGGCTCCCTTGGGGATGCCTGAGGCCACCCCAACCACTCACTAAGCCGTACGTAGACGAATCTGGCGCTACTTTTTTCGTTTACCCACATTATGCGAGTAGTCCTCAGTCTGGCAAAGGCCAGTTTCTTCATCCCGGGGCGCCATGAAATAAATGGCGACTGGCAGAGGCTTGTCAGCGCAACTGGATTTCACCAAAATCCAGGGCAAAGTGTGGGAGGAAGTGTTGAGAGCAAAAGTGTAAGTCCAAGTGTGGAACGCTGCAAAAAACCCCCAAAACAAACAGCGTTGACCGCACGGCCTACTCGCCCAACTACTCGCTCTCTTTTATGTCCCACCATGCAGAGCGCATCTCTCTCTCTGTTGTGCGAGGCGTGAACCGCGCCATTCGCTCTCACCTGGCAACCCTGTCTGCACGTCTCGCGCGCGCGTGAACAGGGCTCCAGGCCCCAAATTACGTGTGAGTGTTAGAGTTGTTTGGTATTGAGGTATTGCTAAAAACATCCCAGTTTGCCGTGCTGTGTCTTTTGCTGTCTGCTCCGCCGCCTTTGCTGCTCCTCGTTTGCCTGTGTGCATGACGGCCGCCCGCCTGCTGCGCTCGTGCGTTGGCACCCTCGTAACCTTCGTGCTCGCGCCAGTATTCTGTTTGATTCTGCTTCCATTCTACGTCCTCGTATTCTCGCCGTGGATCGCGCTCGGCCTCTGCAGCTCCGACGCT